ATTAGTGATGATCCTGTTAAGACAGCTAATTACTCTTCCCCTTTTTATACAAACTTGTGAGACTCACAGTATAATGAGGTATCAGCTAAGAGTTTCTTAATAATCTCACCGAAACGAAATGAAACAGATACTTGTGATAACCCAATAACCTTAAATGAAGTCCTGTTTACTATTCATCACCTCAGAACAAATGTCCAGGACAGCTGAATATGTTATTGCACATCAGTTAGCTCCCTTGCTTCATGGTGGTTTTACAGAAACTACTGAAAATCATTCCCCCCAATTTATCTCATGGACTTTTAACCTTTATTCCAAAGCCTAAAAAAACACTTTGCCTTAATTACTGGCCATTTGCCTATTTTCCTTTTTAATAATGATTACAAAATTCTTACCCAAAGCTTCATGAAGACAATAAAATCTGTTTTAGACCAAATTATTGATGAAACCCAATTTTGGCTTTATGAGCCACAGACAAATATCTAATAACATTAGGCTTGTGCTAGACCTTCTTTAGTAGGTTGTAGTTATATTTTATTTATCTATTTCTGGAAGACAATTGACACAATCCAACACAGATTTATATTTCAGGCTTTGGCCCTTACTTTTGATACAGCTTTTAAACCTTATGCAAATTGCTCAATTAAACTGCAGGCAGGCACCTCTCCTCGAGTTAATGTTTGAGTCAGACAGATATGTCCAGTCTCACCATACTCGTTCCTGTGCTCAACTACTTTCTGGTTACATTAAACTCAGTCCCTGAATCACAACAGCTGAAAAAGATCATAATCAGTCAGCGGGCTGAGATCAGGCGTGTGAGCGGAGTGTGGGGGTGGAGGAGGTCAGTCAGGTAAAATGGGCCTAAGGCATGGATGGATTTAAAGCTGAGAAGGAGGAGCTTATTGTTTACCCTTAATGGGGATGATGTGCTGCCAGGTTTCTCACCTTCATTATTCCTAGGATGCTTCACAGGTCTCAGTAGCTGTTGATACAATTCAGACTCTTTCTGATGTCTCTGGGCTCCGATTGTATGTTTATAGCAAAGATTGTAACATTCTCTCTATTTCTAACATTCTTGTGAAACATTCAGTCGCTTACCTTTGAATTGTTATGAACAAAAACCAAGGCACCAGATGTTCACTAGATTTGGACTCAACCATAGGAAATGTACAAAAGAATTCAAATCATGGCTTCAAAGAGATGTAGAGTTCTGTTATCCAGAGCTGAAGGCACATCCAGACTCAGTTATGCAGCCTTATCTCTAGAAGTCAACAAATGTTGATAATGTACTTTATTAATGAACTCATATGAAAATGGAGGCCCGAACTTTCTTGATTTTCCCACCCTTAAATACATTTTCAAAATAAAGTGGATTCAATAATTTCTTAAAGGTCCGACATAAATTTGGAATTTTTCTCAAAACTTTGAGGCCTTAAACTTGTTTTGCTGTGCAACTGTAATGTATGATGTAACTACAATTTCCTATTATGACAATAATCTAACGACATTGAATATCATTGCCCCTATTAAAACAAGACTGAAGTCACCTTGTGAGGTTGATGACAGGGATATTTGAAGGCTGTGCACAAAATCAGACAGGAAGTGGACAGAGACCTAATTGCATGTCCACTACCTGTAAATGAAAGACCTTGAATTCTTATAATAAAAGAAGCAACAGCAAATATTTCTCAAAACTAATCACCACAATCCCAGATTCCTTGTTACAGCTCCACATGAAACTAGAAGTCAGAGGTTTTTATTCAACACATGTCAACGTATGTGACATCATCAGGGGGGCTTCAACAGTGAGTTCAGAGGGTTGAAGCTCCGCCTCCAATATGACAAACCCGACCAGGTGCGTCTCCTCAGCTCATGAACAGGTTCAGTTCAAGTCAACATGATGAGGAAAACAAACACACCCTTTCCCACGGAGACACCTATATGTCCACCTGACTGTCTCTAGCGTCGGCGGTACAGGATGTCCCAGGTGTCTCTCCACTTGAGTCCTTGCAGCTGATTGGCTGAGAGCTCTGGGCTGCCATAGGTCAGAGGGCAGAAGGTTCGATATGACACGAAGACCGACAACAACACGGCTGACGCAAACACACACAGCGCCCTGCGGTGTGTCACATCACTGCAGAGAGACAAAGGTCACTGTTAAAACTTTATTAACACATGTGACATATGACAACACTGCAGTTCAGCTTTCAGACTGAACTCCTCAGGGTTCTGGATCTTCTCTGGAGGACAGTGAGACTCAGTTTGTCTGTCTCCTCCTTCACTCCAGTTTAAGTCCAGGAGAAGTGAGGACACAGCAGAGCGTCCTCCACTGATCCTCTGAGGGAGTGGGGGGGGTGATGAGCTTCTAACACGTGACACATACATGAAGAAACACTAACAAATGTCTCTGGTGACAAAGTGCTGACACACACGTAGAAGACAGACGTAGATGTGAAGACAGTTTGTGGTGATGAGAGCTGACGACAGTGTCAGGTGATATAAACATGATCACTTGTTGTGTGGTTGTATGTGTGTGTGTGTGT